CCAAAATTGTTTATACTGTACCTTCAGAAGGTAGTACCAATTCAGCAGCTCCACGAACGACGCAGCTCCACGAACGACGCAACACTCAACGCAACTCGCACAATTTTTTTTTTCTAAAGCCACGAGAAACAATTTTTTTATGTCTATACACTGTCCATTCATCAGTGTGCTCTTTCTTCGCCAGGAGCATGCTGCTGGCATTTGTGTAGGCCGTCACATTCAATTGAAAAGTGATTCAACCTTACCAATCCGCACCACGTTCGGAGCCACTGTCGCTTTTATACTTTCAGCTCTATATCCCTTTCAATTCCACGCCTTTTATTGCTTTAAACTAATCTACAGTCATTGCCACACACTGGAATGCACAGTAGTCTTCGCGAATGCAAGCCTGCCTCTTGTATCCTTTTCTCCCTCCCTCTCCCCTCGCACAAAACATTTTCTATTTCACAACCTTCGCTCTCCGATTCGTGCCAATTTATCACACTTGCTCTACATCTACTACCTCGCTGATGCGAACGCCTGCCGCACGCTTCATCGGACTATACCGACATTACATCTGAGTGTTCTTCTTTCTCTCACGCTGAGCGCATAGTGATAAGCGCTTGTGGTGTTCATCTATATTCATCTAGCCGTGTTGCAATGTTTCTATCCTCGCCAGCGTTTCGGAAAATCAAAAACGGATACCGCCGTTCTCCGCTCTCAGCCCACGCGCCCCAGGATGTCCGCCATTTAAAACCAGTCGAGAAGCGGCAAGAGAGCCTTGATGTCGGTTCCGTAGTGTCTTCTGAACCGGCGGGAGGCAGACACACAGATACTGTCGAGACTTTGTTTCTTTCACCAGAAAACTCGATGGCAACTACAGAAACCCCCTCATTCCACACAGACCGACTCAGAAAAGTCATCTTAGATCCTGCTCATGCTACCCAACAAATGGACGAGTGTTTCAGCCCCGGAAATGATACTGGGGAATGTAGAGAAGAGAGAAAAAAGTGGTTGATTGTCGAGAATGAGCTACATCACGTTCAAAGCCTCGCCTCAAGAAGCGTTCATTCCTCATCAGCGAGTGCCCAATTACGACTTCTTGAACAACTTCGCCAAGCCATTGTACATGCCATGCACTATCTACTTGAAGGAACAAACCTGAATACTGGAATGTGTCGAGACGAGGAAAACCCTTTTAAACTTGAAACTGAACAGACCATTTCTCTACAAGCGCGAAAAAATGCCCGCTCCTTCCGGAAAAGTAATCGCAGCAAGCATCCGCTTTACTATGTATGGTCGTCTCCACAAATGGCACGGTCTGCCATCGTCCAAGAATCTATTGCGCTGGGACTGAAGCAGTCAAACACAGCACACCTGAATAATGCTCGGCCCTTGGTTCTTCTTGTCATTGAACGGCGTCCGAATTTCACAGTTGAGAGCAAAGGGCGCAGCTATAAAACAGGCAGAGAATTCTCAGAACAAGACTCGTTTCTGTCTTCTTGGACAAGAGCAACTTTTGGGATAGCAGACGCCATAACGGTCGCAGTTGATACATCAGATCAAATCCAATCATCTTTACAAAAAATGCTGCAGAAATCTGCCATTGAATCATCCGTCGTGCCTGCGTTAGTTTGCCTGCATGCTTCCGGAGACTCGACGATCCCATCTAATATTTCTGCAGTTCGCACACTATGTGATATCTATCAAACCCGTTTATGCATTGAGGGAAGTGCGCTAGCCCTTTTGGCTCAACCAAGCAGACCTTCCACTCCGGAGGAATGTCTAAGGAAAGCCCATGTATTGCTTCTTGATCCTGGATCATGGTTTGGGTTTAAGATGTGTGCTGTTGTGACGAGGCATGAGCCATGTAATTCGAGAACGCCAAACAGTCACCCCGAACGTCGTCATGGTATTTCTTCGATCGAGGTTTTGGCCTCTTGTGACAATGAAGACAAGCATGGCCATGCTACCGGTCCTGTTCTAAATTTGTGGGCTGTTTTTTCTCGAGTCGGTCTGAAGTCTATTCGAGAAAGAATTGAGCAATTTACGGTAGTTGCGGAAAGCTTCCTTCATCACCTCGAAGCATCTCCAAATATGCAAACAATATATGAAGGGATTGGATGCGTTGTAAGGATGTCTTTTGTATTGTCGAGGGAAGACCGCGTACTGGCAGTGGAAAAGGCTGTAGAAAAAATTTCTGCAGTGAACAAGGCTGTAGTGTGTAGCTTGGAAGAAGAATCAAAGAGACTGCTAGTACACACCATTCAAAGTCATGATATTTTGCACATTCAATTCTCTCCGTCTCAGTTCCTGTGCTCTGGAACTTTTTGGTGCCCTTCTGAAGATGACACCCTTGACTATGTCTCCAAACTGCAAACAGCAGTCAACAAGTATGAGCCCTGCAAAGCTGGTATGATTGAGTTTGAAGGTCGAGCTGTTAGATGCCGGGATATCAGTTTCGCTATTTCATCGGAGGATGCTCCTGCCTTGTCTCTCAGTCTTGGGGCTTTCAGAATTGTACCCCATGAATTCTCCAACTCATGGACGGAAAACGCTTCTTCCCTTGATGTCATGAATAATCTTTCCGGCCGCTTTGTTTCTGAACTCGAAACAATTTCCGAAAACCCGGACCTGCAACAAGAATTTGAACGATGTGGCATACTGTTGAACCAAGCCGGTCTACTTGAAATCGAAAAGAGTTTCAACAATCCTGCACCCCCATCTTTACATGAAGATTCGTCGGAATGTGCTTGTATAGAAGATGAACTTCCATTTGTTATCTACTTGAACTCCAAGTTGGAAACTGGTGGTCCAGACTTTATTTCGATTGAGCCAAAAGAGGCATGCAACCCGACGCAAGCAATTCGGCATGCCCGGCTCGCGGCCGAAGTCGTAGTAACAATTGTCGATGTCGTTGTTTCAAGGTGGCGAGATTCCAACATCAGTTCCACAATTTCAGCAGACATACGGACCCTAGCTGGGACGGAGGACACTATTCCGCAGGAACTTTCGCGTGAGAGATGCGGTTATGCTGCTGGCACAGTAAACGTTCTTTCATCGCGTGACATGGAATCGGTCATTACCGGGACCGACACATCACACAGGACGGCTGCTTCTTCAATTGCCGGTGAAGTCCGGGACTTGTTTGTCGAGACAGACTCAGATCAAGACAGCCGCGCCTCTACGTTTGAATGCGATGAGGAAAGCATCGTCGACAATCAGGACATTCAGGAGGCTAATGCGGGAGACGAATTGTTTCCGCCTAATTCAATTGGCACGACCCGGCCAGAGCCAGACCGTGATACTCCTCTACTCCTCGCAGACAAGAAGCTCACACTCTCAGCACACTCGCATATCAGATCAAGAGAGGAAGACGACACACCTTTTCTCGTGGGTCCGGGAACCATTGGTTCGGAAGCCAGCTCCGGTGCCTTACAACCCAAGCGCTCTGGAAAAGAGCCGGGGTCTCCTAGCAGGGCCGCAGCCACCTTGCAGTCTACCCCAGTCCGCTCTCACTGGCTCGGCATCTGGAATCGGGGCGGGCAGAAGGCAGCGCCAGTCTCCAACGAAGAAGGGGACGATCAGGATGACGGGTACGAAGACTACGATGAGGAGTCCGGGTGTGAGGAGAGTTATTCATCGGAAAGCGAGGACGTGGAAGGGGACGCAAATGGCTCATCCTCAAGCTCCAATGGAGAAGGCTTGAGAGAAAGTGATGAAGGAAGCGATGATGAAAGCGACGAGAAGGAATCTTCTGACGACGACAGCAGCTCGGTGGATGAAGAGTCAAGTGCGTTGGAGTCGGGGTCCGACGGCCCGGGGTCCGAGAGCGAGTCAGACGGGCCGCCGCTGACGGTGGCAGCGCCGAGGGGGGTGTTGGGGTGGCTGCGCGGAAGCGCGGGCGCCGGACGCGTCGGCGAGGCTGAGCGAGGAGAGGAGGACAGCTCCTCGGATGGGGACTCCCAGCAGTCGGTGTCGTGGTCGCGCTCGGTCGGCGTGGAAGAGGAGGGGTCGGACTCTGGCGAGGCGGAGAAAGCTTCCGACGGCAGGGCGTGGTCGCGGGGGTCGCGCCGCTACTGGATCTACAACGGTGAGTCCGGGCGCAGCGCAAGCGCGGACGGGGAGTACGCGTCGGACGAGGGGGACGAGTCGGCGTCGGACGAGGAGAGTGGCGAGTCTGCGTCGGACGAGGGTTCTTCGGTCTATTCGGTCTCAGAGCAGGACCGGGACGTGGGCGAGCACGGCAGCGACGCAGACAGCGGGCAGGTGGTCGCGCGCCCTGCGGCGCCGGGCTACGGATTCGGGTGGCTCGCGCGGGGCTGGGCGGGGCGCGGGGCCGGCGTAAAGATGGGGCTGGGGGCGGGATCCTCCGCGGCCGGGGACGGCTCGGCGGGCGCGCGCGGCGGCAGCTCCTCGCGGCTGGGATCTAGCTCGGGCTCGTCCGCGACGGGCTCGGACTGGTCGTCCGGCGCGGGGTCGTCGGGCAGCACGGGCAGCGGCGCGTACGACTCCGAGGAGGGCGCCGGGGGAGAGAGGGAGGCAGAGGAGGAGCAGGACGAGGACGGAAGCGACTGGTCGGAGGAGAGCGAGGAGCAGCCCGCGCCGGAGGGGAAAATGCGAAAGTACCTCAAGTGGCTCGCGCCGTCGGCTTGGGGCGGCGGGGGGGCGGCGCCGCAGAGGAACAGGAGCGAGCGGTTCGGAGGGAGCGATGAAAGCGAGAGTGAGCACGAGCAGGAAGAGAGAGTGCCGACGTTCAGCCGCGGAAGGTCGTGGAGGAGGTCGTCGCGGTCGAGGATGATAAGTTGACGGAGGGGGGACAAAGGGCGGACTTTGTTCTGGATCAGCGACACGCAATTTGGGCAGGGATAAACAAATTAATTACTTGTTCTCATGGCTCTGGCACCACGTGTGACATAAACGACATTCTGTTGATAGCTCTGAAGAGTGCAGCGTCGTAGCGTCCGTCTTACATCTTCCCGCGTTCCCGCCATGAAGACCTGAGCCCCCGGGGCACAACCATGCGCTTCGCGTTGTTCCTGCTGCTGTTGCCGCTGCTACAGCACGCCAGCCTTGCCATCGATCCAACCTGCAGCGCGGCGACCAACCTAACCCGCGAGGCGCTTGCCTACCTGTCCGCCCTCCCCACGCGCGGGTCCGCCTCGTCGCACCGGTTGGGCACGTCGCTGCCGCTCGGCTCGTTCCGCGCGTCCTCGCCGGGGAACGCGCGCCGCGTCGCAGTAGCCGCGGCCGTCGCGGACGCGTGGGACGCGTACGCGGCGGCGGCATGGGGCCGCGACGAGTTGCTGCCGCTGTCGAACGCCGGGGCCGACACGTTTGCGGAGGGGCTCGGCACGACCATCGTTGACTCGCTCTCCACGCTGTACATCCTCGGCGGGCTGGACGGACGGTATGAGGCCGCGCGGGCGTGGGTGCTGGAGAGCCTGGACTTTGGGAAGGTTGGCAGGGTTGTAGTGTTTGAGACGGTGATCAGGATCCTGGGGGGGCTGGTGAGCATCTACCACCTGTCAGGCGACGAGATGTACCTCTTCAAGGCAGAGGAGCTTGGAGCAAGGCTGGCGGCGGGGTTTGAAACGCCGAGCGGTTTGCCGTGGCCAAGGTGCTATTTGAACGAAACGGGAAGGTGCGAGCGGCACCGGCACATGGATGACGCGCTGTACCTTGCGGAGGTCGGGTCGGTGCAGCTGGAGTATCGGGCGCTGTCGCATCATTCTAAGCATCCGCTGTGCAAAAAGATGCGGGGGGTGACGGAGCGGATTATCGACAAGCTGCAAACAGCGCGGTCGAGCGCGGTGCGGATGAGCGGGCGGCATGCTGTGCTGCTGCCGTACGCGATGTTAAGGACGACTGGGATGTACTGCACGAATATGGTGACGGCCGGGGCGCCGGCGGATTCGTACTTTGAGTATTTGGTCAAGGTGTGGGTGCAAGGGGGGAAGAAGGAGAAAGTGTATTGGGAACTGTTTGCGCGCGTAGTGGATAGTATGGTAGAGATCGGGTCGTACACGTCGCGGTACGGGGACACTATCATGCGGGACATGCTGCCGTCGAGCGATGACAAGGTGCACTTCTCGCACAAGATGGACCACTTTGCGTGCTACATCCCTGGGATGATCGTGCTTGGGCTGGACGGCCTCCGGGCGGAGGAGACGGAGAGGAGGGCACGGTGGGTGATGTTTGCAGAAAACATCACGGAGACGTGCTACAAGATGTACGCGAAGAGCCCGTCGGGGCTTGCGGGGGAGCACATCCGGCTGAACCAGGAGGATAAGTGGAAGATGTCCGGCGGGTACCAGCTGCGGCCGGAGGCCGTGGAGGCTTTCTTTTACATGTGGAGATTGACAAAGAAGGACAAGTACCGCGAGTATGCGTGGACGGTGTTCGAGAGGATTCAGCAGCACTGCAAGGTGGAGGGAGGCGGGTATGCGGCGCTCCGCACGGCGAAATCGAGACATCCGAAGAAGGAGGATGTGATGCACTCGTTCCTGATCTCGGAGACGTTCAAGTATCTGTACCTGATCTTTGGGGATGATGAAAAGGAGCTGCCGCTCGATAAGTGGGTGTTCAACACGGAGGCTCACCCGCTGCTTGTGACGCCCGGGCTGTCGGAGGGGGTAGAAGAAGGGGAACGGAGGGAAGTGGCGGCGGAGAGTGGGCACGATGAATTGTAGACTGGTGGGAGACAAAGGGGAGATGCATGATAAACAGGGCGTGTTGCTGCAGCGGAGGTGTTAAGACTTTTATACTCTACCACCGTATGTCTATCCGACCAGGGCTTGTCCTCATATGTGGACGGTTTTTTTTTTGCGAAAATATATAAATTAAATTGATTATTTAATTTATATATTCTTAACGCACTTGTTCTCGGCAATAACATCTTGCAGAACATTGGGATAGCCGTTTTGAACACGCCGAAAGATTAAGAATGTATTGCAGATTAAATACCTAGTTGCCTTTTTTAGTTGCCTTTTTAAGCTGACGTTTTTGGTTTCGAAGTAATTTTATGTGCGGTACTAAGGTGGTTTAATAAAGCTTGTGTGGCAGACATGTCTAAAAACGATCACGAAGAACATGCAATTTTCACAAAGTTCTTACTGGTCGCATGGGAGAAGTCAAGTACAGTGGCGGGGGTATGTTTTCCTTTCTTGTGGAGAATTGCAAGTCAAGAAAAAGATACAGTACTTCCATAAATCCCCAATTTTGACTCATCCCCAATTTTGACTCATTTCACTTGAAATGCATACCGTTCGGCTGTTTGCCATCACTACATGACCGACCCACATGACAATGACAAAGGACACACCCATAGATAGGTAATGATCTGAGCTTTCACTACGATACAACTATTGATGCATTCTGCAGCGAAAATTTGCAACAAAAGCAAACAGAGTACGCGCCTTATACAAAAATGAGCAAACTGATGGCATCAAATTCCCGAATTCCCATTGAAACAAATATAACATAAATTATATGAAATAAAAATAAAAATTAGTATTTTTGGAATGAGTCAAAATTGAGGAGGTTTGCGCAAATCAGAACTTTTGTCACCTCACACTGGCGATTCTCATAAAACTTGAAAGCATTAACCAATTTGGGCTAGTGAAGACTCGTTCGAAAGCTGGTACAGTATAGCCCTCCATCAAGCTGCCGAGTTTCGCTCTCTGAAGAGTCTATGTTGCTTTACTCTAGTCCGCGGACATCCGCAGTAAGAACCCATAAACTCGTCAGCGCTAGAACGAAACCCAATCAAGAACAAAAGCAATTAGACATAAAAAGCAAAACATACCAAACACCCGCTCGCTACTCCTTGGTGGGTCTTCACCCGCATACACCCTGGTGTACACGGACGCGTACATGTTTTCAGCTAAAATGCCATTACTTTTCGTGAAATTGAGTCAAAATTGGGGATTTATGGAAGTACAGTATGTCGAAAACTGTCCTCATGTGAGGACAAAGGTCCAATAGACAACTCTAGGTCACATAGTACGCATGGTTGCCTTGTTGTTTGACCCAGGACCCATGGGTCGCACAACAAGGCAAGATGGGTTGGGGTCTTGGGACAGGGACATACAGCAGGGAGGATGATACGTCGGACACGTGTATGGGTATTGGGGTCAGACAACGCGATGGATATACAGCACACGTACACGGCGCGGCAGTTCCTGACTGAGCTCATGGTTTACAGTTGGGTGCATGTGGGACGCTGGGTGTGTGCACGAGTGCATCATGCAGCGGTGGCAGGCCTCGTTTGCGTGACTGGGGAATACAGCCTGGGAGATACAGTGCGGGGTGGTGGAGGTTGTTTTGCGAGGGCTGTAGGCTACAAACGGGCGGAGGCAGGGGGCGGCGGGGGGGGGCAGGGGGAGGGGAAGGCCGACTCGTCGAGCAGTGGAAAATGTGTCTCCCGTGT